GGTCGTGTCACATGACAGGAAGGAAAGAAGAGTTGAGAGAGTACAGATCGTTGAAAGATGGAGGGAGAGTGAAGTTCAGAAACAACTCACTTGGTGAAATCAAAGGATATGGAATGATCACGAATGGGGAATTTTCCTTTCGAAAGGTTGCCCACATGAAAGGCCTACAACACAACCCGATTAGTGTTTCTCAATTGGTTGTAGGTACCGGGTTGAAAGTGTCGTTCAATGATGAGGGATCAGAAATTATCGAAAAGGAGACCAAAATAGTGCTTCTGAAGTCTAAGTGAAAAGGCGAGATATATCCATTAAATCTGAATCCTATCAAAGGAAAGTCGGCCATATACCTTCTTACAAAAGCACCTTTGGATGATAGTTGGCTTTGGCACCGAAGGATCTCGCATCTCAACTTCAAATACATCAATAAACTCATACTTGGTGATCATGTGCGAGGACTTCTACTCCTGAAGTTTGAGAAGGAACATCTTTGTGCCTGCAAACTTGGAAAGCATAGTAGGAAGAGTCATTCAACAATTATAAACACCAAAGTGATCGAGCCACTTGAGCTTTTATATATAGATCTTAGTGGTCCATCTGCCATCGAGAGCATTGGTGGTAACAAGTTTATTTTAGTTATTGTTGATGATTTTTGTAGATTTACCCGGATGTATTTTCTTAAACAGAAATTAGAAGCCACCCCTAAGCTCAACGACTTTATAAAGCAAATCAAGCTTCAACTACGAAAGTTGGTTCCTAACATTCGTAGTGACAATGGTTTGCAGCTCAAAAACAAAGCGTTTGAAGAATTTCTAACTAAAAAAGGAATAGCTCAAAATTTATTAGCTCCTTAAACTCCTCAATAGAACGGGGTCATTAAAAGGAGAAATCGGCCTCTATGCGAAGCTGCGAGAACCATACTATCATTTGCAAACCTGCCACTCTATTTCTAGGCAGAAGCTATCGACATAGCCTATTTTACACAAAATCGATCTCGCCTAAACAAAATATTTTCTATCACCCCTTATGAAGTTCTTAATAAAAGAAACCTAATGTTAATTTCTTTCATGTCTTTGGTTCCATGCGCTTCATTTTTAATTCTAAAGAATAAAAGAACAGATTTGATGTGAAGGTTGATGAAGGAATTTTCTTGGGGTATTCTCTAACGTCAAAGGCATACCGGATTCTTAACAAGAAATCTAAAAGGGCCGAAGAAACCTACTATGTCACTTTTGATGATATTTATCTGAAGAAGTATTAGAAGACTAATTCTCAATCAGAGGAAATTTTTCCCACGAAAAATCCGATGATAATTCCTCTCTCCAGCCTTTATGAGGAGTTAATGAACCTCTTTGACAAACCAGACAAATCGATCTCCTTAGAATCCAGAGCAACAGATAACAAGGAAGACGAGCTCAAAAAGATCATTGATGATGCTGTGAAGGATCTTGAAAACGAGCCTCGAAGCCCAAGAGACTCTGATTTTCCATCTCAACCACAATCTACAAATGCTCCACTTCAGGGGGAGGCTTTCACTTATACACCAACCTCAAGCACCCCAATTCAAGGGGAGCATTCAACTCCTCCAGTAAAACTTGATAGTCCTATCTAGGGGGAATCCATTTACGAATGGAGAGCCAAATCCATCATTCGAGGGGGAGAATGTGGATACAAATGATGATTCAGATGATCAATCTGAATTTGAAGAAGCAGATGCTGAACTGGATCTATCTTATGATCCAAACTACCCTCCACTAACCAAGTGGATCAAACATCATCCAAAAACACAAGTAACCGGAGAAGCCTCTTCAGGAGTTCTTACAAGAGCACAACAAAAGGCGAATCAGACTGCATTATTCTCCAAAATGGAATTTTGCATATTTAATTCATTTATATCCAAAATTGAGCCCAAAAATGTTAAGATTTCTCTTGATTATTCTAATTGGGCGCAAGATATGCAGGAGGAGCTCAATGAGTTTGAATGTAACAAGCTTGATAAAGAAGGTAATGTTATACGAAACAAGGCTTGGTTAGTCGTTAAAGGATATTGCCAAGAGGAAGGCATAGATTACGAGGAAACTTTTGCACCAGTTGCGAGACTGGAGTCTGTTCGCATCTTCCTAGCATATGCAGCTCACAAGAACTTTGAAGTATACCAAATGGATGTTAATGTGTCTTTTTGAATGGGGAACTAGAAGAGACAGTGTATGTAGAAAACCCACCAGGGTTCATAAACTAAAAGTATCCCATCCACTGTTACATTCTGGATAAAGCAGTCTATGGTCTGAAGCACGCTCCACGAGCATCGTATGAAACTCTTACTAGATTTTTAAAACAGTCTAAATTTAAACCAGGCTCGGTCGACCCAACCTTCTTTCACAATAAAGATGGTGACCATTTGATGATCGTCCAAATCTATGTTGATGACCTCATTTTTGGATCTACTAATCCTAGATTAACTGTTGAGTTCTGAAAGTTGATGGAAACTAAGTTTGAGATGAGCTCAATGGGTTCGATTAACTTTTTCCTTGGTTTAAATATAAGACAGAGTCAGGATGGAATCTTTATCAACCAAGAGGCTTATACAAATACCTTACTTGCGAAGTTTGGAATGGTGGGAGATTCGAAGGTGAAGGTTCCAATGGCATTCAGAAAGAAACTAACAATGTCATTGGACAAACCAGCTACTGATATGACACTCTATCGTCAAATGATAGGTTCATTGATGTATTTAACTGCTAGTCATCTAGGCATTATGTTTTCTATTTGCTATTATGGTAGGTTTCAAGCAAATCCTCGCGAACCCCACATGACTGTTGTGAAGAACATCTTCAGATATCTTAAATGAACAACCTACCTCTAAATTTGGTACCCTTGAAGCTTAGGGTTCTTTGTACAAGCGTTCTCTAATGCTGATCTCAGAGGTTGCAGTCTAGATCGAAAAAGTGCAGTGGGAGGATGTCAATTTCTTGATGGCAGCCTCGTAAGTTGGCAATCAAAAATACAAATTTGCATCTCCCTCTCTACCGCTAAAGCTAAGTATATTATAGTAGCTTCTTGTACCTTACAAGTAATAGGGATACAATGTCAGCTTCATGTCTATGGGATTGATATGAAGCGAATTCCCCTATACTATGATTCTGAAAGCGCCATTCACATCTGTCACAACCCAATGCAACATTACAAGACCAAACACATCGCATTGAGGTATCACTTCATAAAAGATCACATAGAAGATGGAAATGTCGAGATCCACTTTGTTAGATGCACTGATTAGTTGTCTGACATCTTTACGAAAGCCTTACATGAACAAACCTTTAATCGCATTCTTCAAGGCTTAGGAATGATTGAAACTGAATTAGTTCTGAAACCACCTTCGCACTAGGAAAGTATTGATTGAAGTGCGAATGGGCGCGAACACTCGTAGTGATTTGTAGTCAGTTGTTCAACTATGAATGGGTGCGAACACAGGTAGTGGTTTGAAGTCTACTGTTCAACCGTGAATTGATCCGAACACTCAGAGCGACTCGCAGCCCACTATTCATTCGGAGGTTTGGAGCTTCTTGTATACTTTTGTATATTTTGTTTGTTACTACTTATTTAATTTTTCCTGTTTTTATTTATTTATCAGAAAAATAAAAAAATCCAAAAATATTTTATTTGTTTCTGTTTTTATTTCTTTTTCAGAAAAATCAAAAATCCAAAAATATTTTCTATTTCTTTAAAACAAGAAAAATAATAGATAATTGAGTAGTATTGACAACACATATCATGATACTCTCAATTACGAATGATGGGGCAGGTATTGAAATCCTAATCTTTACACTAGTTAAGTGTCCCTAGAAGCTCTGTTGTATGTAGTCTGAAGCCTTTGAGACTCTATGCTCGAAGCCTTAATGAATTAATAATACCAATCGTTTCTTCCCAGTCAGGCTAATATTCACATAAGTCATTGAGCTACCTTACTCTTCTCATATTGAATTAAGAGTTGACTGCTTGGTCACTTTCATATAGAAGAGGTGAATTTCTCTTCGGAACCATCTCCAATAATTCTCCATCACATTCGTTTTCACATTAGTAACCCTTGAGACTCAAAGAAATTACCACTGAGGTTTATGGTTACACAACCTATGTGTTCATGATCTTAAATTCGTTATCACCACGAATTGAGTGAAACCCACAATCCAACACATATCTTAGAAATGACCGTGAACAATTGAAATGTTCTAGCTTTTCACCAAGGAATTGATGTGAATTTATCTTTATGGTTCGTACCTTAAAATCTCATTATTTTATTTTTTCGAGATCATAATGAAATATTCTAGACCTAAGACATTTCTTCCCCTAAGATCCAATTTTTATTTTTCTTGAGATTTCTAAATTATCCGTCCACTCAATTTTTTTCCAAAGCATACTTGCTCTTATGCCTACACTGACAGACAAGTACTCTATACGAATGTTCAGACTTATATTGAGTTTCAGACTTTAGTTGAAGATGAAGCCACCCTTTCGCCTTATTAAAAAGAATTCTTTCACTGTTTCTCAACAAACAGATGATCGTAATTCTATGAGACATCACACATGCACTTCTGAGTCTCTCTTGACTCTGAGGGAAAAGATCTTTTCACATGATCCATCTGCTTTATGTCTATTGAGACATCACTATAATCCTATATAATTATATTGATTTATTTCTTTATCTTTCGCACACGCTTGCACAAAGATCCTTATGATTTTCAAAAAGTCTGGTTCGCAGTCGTAATGGTTACTTTCATATTCGGAGTACAGGAAATGGTGATCAATTGCAAAAGTGAGCAACTGAAACATAGATATATAATGGATAAGATTTCTATCATGGCGCATGGAAATTTCAAACTGTCGCTGACATCACGCCGCCTAACATACGTCTGTCACACGCCAGCCTGTCACGCTTTTCAAGGCTACTTTATCGGGATTTTGTAGCGCCAAACGTCAGTTTTCTCTCACCAATCGTACCGTTTATAATGAAACTCGACACTTCACTTATAATCACTGCTTTCAAAGATATTATCCTTCCGGTGCAAGAAAACCCTTTTCTCTCTCAAGCATTGTTCATCTTTTTCTCCACTACACCAATGGTTTCTTCCTCTTTAGTTGAAAAACAAATGGCTCAGTCGATATTACTGGGTATTAAGGCTAACCAAAATCTCATCTTGGACCATGATCCATCAAAGTATGAGGCTTTTCTTCAACTGTTGATCAATTGCCTAAAATACTCTCCTCTAGCTACTGCTTTGTCAAAGACACAGAACGTTCTGTTGGCTCTTCTCTCCAGAGCTTACTCAATTGCCCGATATGAAAGAGTGCACCACAACTATTACATTTGAGCTAGATAATCGACAAACTTACATAACCAAGTCAATTTTTTGTTTCTTAATAGGGTTTCCTTCTGATAGGGATTTAATTGATCCTGAAACTATCTCCAATTCTTCTATACTTGAGATGTTTTACCAAATGGGCTACAGGGAGTATCTTGTCGGCATCTCCAACTTCAAGAAGCCCAACCTTCCTCTTTTTGGAACATGCTATTTACTCTAATCTTCAAGAGCTTCTCATAACGGGTAACTGGATCAGATTGCGCAAGTAAGCTCTTTCATACGATTATATATGGCGTCTATTCAGGGGTAAATTTGGATTATAGGTATGTTCTTTGGGCTCAACGTGTTCAGATCACTCTTTCTGTTACAAGGTACAACGAGATTTCATGTGCTTGTTTTTTGGAAATTATTGTTCAGAGGGCAATTATTCGCCTCCGTATTCCGGTGATAGAGGGTTCGATTATTGCTGCCATTCCCATTTTCCATACTTCAAACGTTATTCTATCAGATAGCTCGTGATTTTCCTTCATTGGATCTATTCCATAAGAGATGCTACGAAATTTTCCAGCCAATAGTACAATTATCACTGAGTGTCATAGAGAACCAGCTTCAGGTGCTCGCCCATTAACGGTTGCGATGCAACAAGTTTTTGAAGCGGTTGACAAGGCTAGGAAAGGAGGAAGCAATAACAAAAGGTTGGACCCTCTAACTCTGCTCAAACTCCAAAGAAGAAGGTTAAACAAATCACTCACAAACCCAAAACACCTACACCGAGTGATGAAGAGGATTCTTAGTCAAATACCATCTCTGACATTCGCACACATGACCAAGTCCATCATGCAACTGTTGACACTACGACGACTTCGCAACCGATGGTTTTAGAGCCAATCACGAACAATCTTGAGGTAACATTTTTAGTGCCTACTTCTGTTCCTATCACAAATGATTTTTTCCAAGCTTTTTCTCCATGTCCACCTGTATCTAGTGGAGTCTCGCAAACACAAATTTCTACTACTCATACTGCTCTACTATTCACAGACTCAACTACAACAACAGCAATGACCACGAGTACACCACTGATCACTATCAACGTATCTGATACGGAGGCAAGGACTTATGGTTTCTCTTCTGGTGTTGATACTACTCATGTCTCACCTTTATGCCAAGGTGATCCGGATACAATATTGGGTGATGATAGGGATATTTTTGAAGATTTTCCCTACAACCCTTTCCGTGTTCAACAAGAGAGTGACGAAGATGATGCTCCAATGACAATAGGGCAATTCAACACCCTCAATACTAAGTTAGATTCTTTACTTGATTCCACCAAAGCCTCTTCAAGTAGTTAATACTCCCAGACCTCTGTCAGAGCCTTCCTTGAATCACTTATGAAGGAGCGTACTGCCAATGTCTCTCTCGCAAACAAAGTAGTTGCTGACTCTAAAAATACTTGCAAGGAAACGACCTAAAAAGTCGATAAACTATTTTCTGATATCAAAAACTTTATGGAGGACTCCCGCACTGCATCTGAACACAACACAGCTCTACGAACACAACCATCAACAGTTTCATTTCTAATCTCAAAACTGAAAATGCGGCTCTTATGAAGGTTCGCTCTGAGATTCAAACTGGAAATTCTGAGTTCCAAGCAGCCATTTCCTCCAAGATTGAAAAACTTCAGGTTGATTTGGCTCATGAGAACAAGGTAATGGATGAGATGGCTATTAAAACTGATAGGGTGAAAGTTCTATCAGTAAATTTAATGCATGCGAATTTACAGATTGCTGATCTAAAATACAAGAATGTTGTTATCTGAAGTTGCGTTGCTGATGTGAATGCCTATTCATTTATGAAATAAAATAGGATACGTAGGTCATAGGCGATTTCTTCCCCAGGATCATCCTTGGAGGAATGCATAAGATTTTAATGGTAAAAAAGAGGACAGGCTTGCACGTAAACATATCAGCATAGAAGATTGCTTACGTCAACTAGAACACGTCCCTCAATGTCCACATGGAAAAAACTAGTCTTACACCGACCAAAAACATAAAAGGGGCATAAGACAGTTAAATTGGACAAAAAAAAACATATTCTTTGAACTACCATACTGGTGCAAGTTGTTAATGCGTCATAACATTAATGTCATGCATGTTGAAAAAAAAAATTTGAGAACATTTTGGGAATTTTATTAAACATAGAAAAGAAGACAAAAGGCACTAATAATGCTCATCGTGATTTGCAGGATATGAAAATATGCAAGCATCTTTACTTAGTGAAGAAAAATGATCGTTGGATTAAACCGCCAGCTCCATATGTTTTAAATCGAAAAGAGAGACACCAATTTTGCAGTACAGTTAATTCTATTTGGTTTCCAGATGGATACGCCTCAAACTTGGATAAAAATGTTATTCTTGAGCAGTGTAAGATATATGGACTTAAATCTCATGAATGTCATGTCTTACTGCAACATGTACTCCCTATCGCTGTTCGTGGGCTTTTGAAAAAGACAATACGTGAAAATTGGTAGAGTTTTCTCGGTTTTTCAAGATTATAACGTCAGTTACATTACATGTGGGAGAGTTAGAAATGCTGCAAACAGAGATAGTTAAGATTCTCTGCAAGCTTGAATGCATATTTCCTCCCTCATTTTTTACAGTTATGATGCACTTATGCATTCATGTACCTCAAGAGGCTATTTTAGGAGGACCCGTACAATCAAGGTGGATGTATCAAGTTGAAAGATATCTTGGCCATTTAAAGAAATATGTTAGAAAAAAACAAGACCCAAAGGTTCAATTGCTGAAGGGTATGTTGTAGAAGAATCTCTAACATTCTAATCACACTATTTACAAGGTGTTGATTCAAAGCTAGAGAAACATGGTAGAAATGATGATGAAAGAGTTAATGATGTTCGAGATATAAATTGGATATTTTTAATTTGAATGAACGAGGCATTGGGAAGCAACAAAGTGTTAGGCTTTTGAGTATTCTACTGAAGAAAGCACAGTGGTTTATCTTAAGCAATTATGCAGAAACTTAACCGTACATGAAGTTAGTATATTTTACCTTTCCTAGTGCATTCAGTTTTTTATTATCTCAAGGTATTTAAGGCTTATTTTCACCTGACAGTGAACACTTACAACACCTGAAAAAAGAACATCCAAGGTCGTTAAATTTTAGCGAATTACAACAATCTTCATTTCCAAGTTGGTTTTCTTTACGGGTAATGTTACTATAACATTAAATTATATCGTTTTATCATGCGGAAGCATTCAACCAACCCATACTTTCTCAAAATGGTGAGCAGATGAGGTAAATGTATGAGAAAAATTCATCTGCAATTGACGAAGAGCTGTATGCATTATCTCGTAGCCCAGATGAACGAGTTACAACACATGGTGGCTACATAGTAAATGGAGTTAAATTTCTTGTTAGGTCATGAGATGACCATAGTAAGACTCAGAATTCTGGAGTTACAGTCCTAGGAATTCACGAATGGAGTTGAAGAGGATTATTATGGATATGTTGATGAAGTACTTAAATTTTCATTCATAAAATGATATCGAGTTATTTTAAATAAATGTATTTGGTTCGATACCGATTGCAGAAAGAAGCACGTGTTATTTGAGCCTCATTTCATCTATGTAGATACAACCAAACAAGCTTATAAGGAAGATCCATTTGTCTTGGAAAATCAAGCAAAAACATTGTTCTATATAAATGATCCCACACATGCCTCGAGTAGGAAAATCATAGAAAGGAGCACACATAGGCATTTATGGGACATACCAGAGAACAAGGATACACAAGATTTGTTTGAACATGTAGGAACACCATCACACACAACCCCACTGGAAGCATCTGATTGTGAAAATTTCGAGTTTCATCGAGAAGACGGTGAAGAAGAGTTTGTGGAAGTTGTCGATGATGAAAGTTTTGAAGTTGATTTAGATGATTTTATCGATTATGATACTATCTCCACCGAAATTATTGAGGAATTACGCGATGAATCAAAAGATGATTTACATGATAGCAATGAAACAAATGTGGCACTATATGATGAGTTGAACGATGAATATGAATAAGTGTATTTCTTGTGTTTCTTTGCTGGTGTCTTTAGTTAAGTATTTAACACTTTTTGACAACGGATATGAATAAATGTATTCTTTTTGTATGTTGTTGGTGTGTTTTGTAATTTGTTAATTATTTAGAACTTTTTTGACAATGAATATGAATTGTTTTACAGGTAAAATGAGGATATTTCTTGTGTTGATGACGATTGTTAATCTCAGAGGTATGAAGCGTGTAAGGAAAGAACCTCGACAAATTTAATTTGTGTCAACTGGTGAAGAAAGTGGAAGTGAATTGGATCCAAAATTGTGCATGCTTCGTACACATAAACGTGTTATGACATCTGTTGCATCAATAGGTATAACCTTACATGTTAATTTCTGATTACATTTAATTGATTCATACATAATATGTTAAAGTTGAATTTGGTGACCAAAATTTAAAGGGTTATAATAAGTGTAAGGGTTGTTCGGTAAATGTTAGTGTATGGGTCTATTTGGTAAACGTTAGCGAAGGGGTTGTTTGGTAATTGTTAGTGCAAGGTTTGTAATTTTTTTACTATTGTAACAAACATAATCAATCATAACTAATGATTGAATCTCTGTAGGAGCAACTGTTGCATGAGAAAATACTCGATCAACTTCATTTCAGCTTGCCCAAGAAGAAAGGGTCACTAGAACAACTTCTAAAACAAATGAACGTCCTCTTTCTCAAAATATGGATTCTTTTCCAAACTCGGGTGATACAGGTTACTACATTTGTGTTTAATATTTTGAGTAATAGTAAATTATATAAATGGTACTTGCCTTATATTAGATTATAGCAATGGTCCATTGTGTAATAGTAAACTATAACCCGTCTTTTTGTAATAGTATATAAATTACATAAATTATATCCGACATAATAGTAAATTATTTCAATTGTACCTGTGTTAATTAATGTAAAAATAGAAAGAAGACAAAGTGGTTCCACGGAAGATACTCAACGATCTTCAATAACGTTAGTTGGTAAAGGAAATGTCTCTAACACGATTGATAACATGGAATCCCAAATTGAGCACTCTCATGCTCCAAGTAAGTAGTAAGGATTTTATTAGTTTATTTATAACATTACAAATTAAGAACAATATATATTGTGTAGATCAAAGACGAAGGCGAGGCCCAAATATTAATAAAAAAGCTTCGCATATTTTTGTCACACCCCAAAACCAAGAACGGCGGAAACGTTCTGGGGCGGAGGACGTCATGTACAGTATCACAACAATGAAAAGTAGTAAACAAGCAACAACATAATCCATTGCATTAATAATATAATTTTAATACAAGTGTGTTCTGTCAAATTATAATAGATACTAAAGCATAAATCAAAATGAAAGATGAGTCTTGAATGAGCTCCATCTTCCTTTCTCCTTGCATCGGCACCTGTCTATAATGACCTGAGGATACAAGTAATTTTGAAAGCGAGTATCAGCTTTGAAGCTGGTGAGATCATAAGTATTTTAGTGTCTTAATTTGTATGTAAGAATTTGTAAGTTTATGAACTGTAAGTATAAGAATGTTTGTAAAACAACTGTAAACGTTTGAAAAACACTAGAAATCCCTATGATTCCTACTATTATATAAGGGTGTCTTCTACCAAGACTTAATTGTTATCAATGTAGTCTTCTACCAAGACTTAACTGTTCTAAATGTTGGTTTCATGTAAAAGTGTGTAATTTTCCCAAGTGTAACTATCATTAACAAAATATAGTTTTTACATTTAAAGTTTAAGTGAAAAGATCACTAAATATATGTACAGGGAAAATTAATGTAGTACTAAAATGTAGCGCTATAAGAACTACTGCTGTACTAACTACCTTAAACTGGATTTATATTAAGGTATTATGTGATTAATTACACCATACTATTGACCGGTAACAACGACATACGAATGGTCGTAAAACGGAATGACGTTTGGTACCCACAGACCTGCAGGTCCGGCTGTAGCTAGCAGCAAGGTGTAGGATAGTCAATCCAGTATACATCTATACGCAAACTCACGCTCTCCCTCCAAGAGACTCTGGCTACAACTCAGGCCATGACATTTAAGGCATGCTCCGATACAGTGGATCACAATTTGGTTAACGTATTCATGTATATGTACTTATATAAGCGTAATCATGTAAAAGTATATGAATGTATGCCTTTGCTACCCAAAGGCACTGAACTGACTGAAAGGATCTATTACGTCCATATATGTATACATGATATATAACTAATGTTTAAACGACATTCGGACGGTACCCAATATCCCACCGGACCACATCTCAAGCGCGAAAAGGAAATAGGGTGGATAGCCTTCCTAAGTCCTTTAAACATTGCTTATATAATTATACATATATAGGCATGCGTATAACAGGATCTCTATGTAAACGTATCAATGTAAATGTAAAGTAATGTACTATAATGTTCTGTGTGTGCTAGTTGTAATGTACGTGCTCTCTACCTAGCAAGTATAGACTCATGAATGAACCGACTCACTGTAAGATATCACGTTCTAGTAATGGTTCTAGTATCTTCCTAAACTACCCATATGGTAGTTTACTAGTAATCTAATTGGGACGTTTGAACATGGATGTATACCCTTGCTACTCAAGGGCATTGGATGAACTGGAAGGACCTTTATGACCATATATGTACACATAATATATAACTAATATTTAAACGACCTTCGTATGGGTACCCGATATCCCACCAGACCACATCTCAAGCGCGAAAAGGAAATAAGGTGGATAGCCTTCCTAAGTCTTTTAAACATTTCTTATATAACCATACATATAGAGGCATGAAATTTATAATAAAAGCATAAAATAAGTTTTGTAAAAACCTTTGAACATAAATATTTTCTAAGAAAAGATCAACTTGATGTCGATCTATAAAAGGGTTTTGAAGGCATGGGTTTGATAAAACGGTTTTGTATCAAGAAACATTTTTTTGAAACACAATTGTAAATAAGTTTGAAATGTAATATACATAGTAAAATGTACAGTGTAATAAGGAGTTTTAAACATATAAAGTGTTTATGAAAATCATTTGAAGGAAACTGTTTGGTAAAACGGCTAATGAGTAGTAAATCATTTGAATGCTGCTTATTAATCACATGTGATTGATATAATAAGTAGCATGATTCTAATTGTATCCCCCCCCCCCTCCGGATAAAATATTTAAAAATAGTTAAAACATTGATTAAGGGGTATGAACTCACCTGCAGTAAGTGATTGGAATTGAACGGACTGTTATCGTAAGGAAGGATCGAACAAGTGCTTGGTGTCAAGTGAAGACTTTAAACACACACAAGGAAAACACTTTTGGTCAAGTGCTAGGAGGCAAATGGGTTGCAACAAAGGAGTGCAATGCCTCTAATGGGAGTTTATGGTCAAATGACCATATGTTTTGGAGTTTACGGCCCAGAGGAGTAAACTCTTGGTCGTAAACTCTCAACAAGGTCTCTAAATGAATCCTATCATTTATACAACTAGTTTGGTGAATTGTTTCTAGGCTTAACCAAGTGTTTGGGTGACATTTGCCCCCTTTATAGGGGTTTACGGCCCTGGGACCATATCCCATGGAGATTACGGCCGTAATCTCCTTTGGGGAAAGGTTTATGGTGTTTTCAAGTCCCTAAATTATCAAGGAATGCATTAAGGCAATTGTCCAAGGCTTTAGGAGGATTTATGGCACCATTTATTGGAGTTCATGGCCATGGAACATCTTAGGCCGTGAACACCCTTTTCTTGGTGTTTTAATGGTGTTTGCTATCCCCAAACACACTAGGGTACTTGTCCTAATTTGTCTCTTGGCTTAAGGAAGGTTTTTAGGGCATTTTGTCACTTGAAAATGGAGTTCACGGCCCAAGAACTTCCTTGGCCGTGAACTCACTTTCACCATTGATTCTCAATTGTTTTGGTGGTCTAAACATTTAATGGTAGTCCCTATGTTGAGTTCCAAGGCTTTGAGGGACATTGGGCACACTTTTGGCCCTTAAAATGGAGTTTACTCTCCATGTGTTCTTGGGCGGTAATCTCCCGAATCTTGGGATTTTGATCCGATTTTGATGTTATAAACTACAATCTAAGCTATATAATATAACTAGATAGAAGTACTCACGATTTGGGATAAAAACCCGAAGATCCGTGAGAGAGAATTCGACTTTTCTCTAGTTGGAAATGCAACTAATGAAAGAATATGGTTCAGATTTCTATATATAGTCCTGAGATTTTTGGCAGAAAATATTTTATTCCCGGAATGAACTCTAATATCATAGAGTATTGGAATAACAGTGTCGCACAAAACCCTAGTGCATCCACAATCCTGATATCTCCTTAAGTGCTAAACCTGAAATACTCAAACTTATACTCAAAGTCTGGAATTTCACTGTAATTGTTCTAACTTCTATTGGCTTCAAATGATTTGTACAGAATGGAAATTTCGGGCTGTCACAATTTTGGACAAGATTGTGGAGAATCAACCAGATGCACGGATTACATTGAGAAAAGATACATATACTAAGAAATTCATTGGGGATTCAGCAATACATTTTGCAACGAAGGTTGGAATTATGATGTGAAAGTTTCGTCCAATGGAATTCCATACATGGGAGAAACTACCGAAAGAAAATAAAGAAGAAATTATCGATAGATTACATTTAAGTTATACTGGAACTGGACTAAAATTTCTTTTTTAGCACTTTTTTTTTAATTCTCTCATTTTTAAAATATGCATAAGTCAGTCATATGAAGTCGGTGTGACTTGATTTTTTTCAACACGTAAGTTATTGTTTTTAGTTGATTTTAGACTGCACAAAGTTATATTTTCGTTAAATAGTTAATCATCTACAGGTCCCGGAAGACAGCATATCTATGTTATGTTTTTTTTCTGTTTTTTTAAATATTTTTCACTTCATATAGTAAATCAAATCCGGTTCCAGTTCCGAACTGGTCCGGTTCTAAAGCTCATCCCTAAAAGGTTAAAATATGTACTAATTGCAAGAAAAATTTGAAATACCGCACGCATATATATTTTTGATGGAATGTGTAGATGAGCAAATGTGAAGGCAATGGAAACGCACACGAAATACTTTGAAAGATATTTGGAAAAAAAATGGAGGAATGACCAATCCACAATTAGCACGATCTAAAATGAAGCCAAATTATCGTGGCAAAGAAGATTGGTCTTCTTTGTGTGATTATTAGGAGACAGATAAGGCACATGTAACTTTTTCACTCTTTACATATACACATATTTTACGTAATTAATTCTTATTTATATGTTATTAGCCATGTTCAATTTAAATTTTGTAGAAGTATGCTGATCAAATGAAATATAATCGAGAAAAACTAGTGATTTCAAGTAGAGGAGGCTCTTGATCAATAACAAATCACAAATTTACCATGGTAACTAGCAAATTAGTTTATATTTGTATTAACATATTCATTGAACACCAATTATAGATAATTGTTCTTATGGTAATTTTTATTATTGCAGAAAAACAAAAAGACTCAGTTGCCCCCCACCCCAATCGAATTATATCATAAGTTGCATTTTCATGCTACAAAGGAATGGCTAAATGATGAGACACGCATTCAATATGTAAGAATGATTTCTCGAGTAATATTAATTTCCGTTTGTAATATATTGATATCGGTGTTATATATAAGTTATTATAATATGTTTTTATGTTGTTTTAGGAAAATATTCTCCAAATGAAAGAGGATGAATGTACCAAATTAGTTCCGGTGGGAATAAGCATTACTCCATAAATGGAATATGAAATAGAGAAAAAAGTCATTAAAACTGTTTGTGTCAAAAATAAAACATTACTATCTGGATGGGAGGCTTCAAGTGGACCTATTATGAGGAAAAAATATCTATATATCTTATCAGCAGCGGAAACATGTCAATCAGCCTCAACGGATGAAATGGCTTTAAAAAATAAAGTTACTGCACTCGAGGAAGAGGTTCAAGAAAACAAAGAAAAAGTGAAACAAAGTGAGGAGAAATGTAAAAAGATGCTTCAATTTATGATCTCGAAGTTCCCAGATTCTCAAAAAATATTATGCCCACCTGATAAACAAGGATTTCATGCATATGATGACATGACAAATATATTAGATGAAGAGTAATAGTCATGACCTTAAGTTAAAAGTTAAAACTTTTTTTAGTTATGGTTTTACTATTGACACATTGCTTTGAATTTTTTTTTGTTTATTGTTTTAATTTGGAAATGATGTCTAGATTACAATACATTTTCTATTTTCAGTATATTTAGTCTATAACTCTAGTACTTACAGCTAGTTATTAATACTAAAATGATATTGCATATGAGTTTGTTATCCAGTCACTAAAAAAAAGGTTAGGGACTGAATGATGTTTCATTTTAGACTGATATTCAGTCATTGGAAAGGTATGTTAGGGACTGAATGACATTGTATCAGAAACTAATATTCAGTTATTGAAAATTCATGTTAGGGACTGAATAGCATTGAATCTTAGACTAATATATAGTCACTAAAAACCATGTTAGGGATTAAATGACATTGTATCCTAGACTAATATTCAGTCACTGAAAAATCAAGTTAGAGACTGAATGTCATTGTATCTGAAACTGATATGTAGTCCCTAAGAAACCTGGTTAGAGAGTGATTGACATTGTATCTGAGACTGGTATTCAGTCCTTGAAATATTAGGTTAGTAACTGAATAACATTGTATTTAAGACTGATATTTAGTCATTGAAAAATCTGATTAGAGACTGATGTCCAGTCCCTAAAAATTTGATTAAAGACTCATGACATTGTATCCGAGACTGGTATTCAATCCTTGAAATATCAAGTTAGGGATTGAATAACATTGTATTTGAGACTAATATCCAGTCAAAAAAAATATTAGAAACTAATCTAGGTAGTTTAGAAGACTGATATTCAGTCCCAAATGATATCAAAAAGGACTGATAGGAAACAAAATAAAGATTTCAATGAAAATATTACAGACTGGATAATATATTATAAAGGGTTAATATTCAGTCTCTAAAATATGGTATCAGGGACTGATATGATATCAAATTGGGGATTTGAATAAAACAAATTAGAGACTGAATGTGATATTATCTAAGACTGATCTTTAGTCTTTAATACATTGATGAATTAGGGACTAATTTTCATTCCCAGATACAAAAAAAAAAAATTGATTATCTAAGACTAGGTCTTAGGGACTAGCCAAATCAGTCCCTGATTCTCATTAGAGACTAATTATTGACCATTAGTGTCACACCCCAAAAACCGAAGGCGGAAACATTTCTAGGGCGGACTCCACGTTGAGTATCAAATCCAATGCACATAGTAAGCAAAGTAGACAACCATTACATTACATATATAAAAGTTTACATTTGTTTCAAAAGTAAATTATACAAGTGTGATACATAGTATATATGAACAAATGAGACGAGTCTTCTACGCACTCCGTCTTCGCCAAAAGAGATCGTCGGGTACCTGTCTAATGCGGACTTGAGAATACAAGTAGTTTGAAAATCAGCATAAAGCTGGTGAGTTCATAAGCGGTTAGTTTTCTGAAAATGTATGAGTTCCTTTGGTTTCCTGAAAAAGTGGTTATCCAAGAAAATCCCATATTTTCTTAAAAGTAATGTTTACCAAATCTAAAATGTAATGTAAAAGATGTACACTGAAATCATAATTGTTCTTGTGAATTGCAAAGTTTAGTTATCTAACTTGTTACACTTTTCTGGTTACGTACTACTGTTACTCATGAAAATCCTATATTTTCCTACATGTGTGTGTGAACTGTTACCGATTCTTTGTGTACGAACTGTTACCGATTCCGATTATGTTCAATGTTATCCCCAGGAAAACCCCATATTTTCCTGAATGTGTGCATGTGTGAACTGTTACCGATTCTGTGTGTGCGAACTGTTACCGATTCTGATTATGTTCAATGTTATCCCCAGGAAAACCCCATATTTTCCTGAATGTGTGTGAAGTCTCCCGAAATTCTAATTATCCTTAAATGTACATTAGTTTTATTACGTACATAAAACTATTAAATAAGTGTAAAGTGTTAATAATCTTGATTGCGAGTCCTTAACCATACTTCAGACTAGATATGACTCGGGTCGTGGCCAGTATCCTTTTTATGACTTTCGTCACCCTTGAACCTTTCAGTTCGGCTGTAGTTAGCAGCCAGGTGCGGGATTATCAGTCCCGTATAGATCTATACACTCAAGTCACGCTCTCCTCTGTTCGGAGATTCTCATTATAGGGGTAGTCCTCCACTCTCTCGTGCCAAGGAAGTGTTACAGAGGGCGTGTTTCCAATCTTTAATATTTCCCTTTACTTCTGGTGCTTAGGGGAAGTAGTATCTATGACTATCTAAGTTCTAATGGATCCTGTCCTTTACACTCGAGCCTAGGTGTTTTATTAAGGACATTACAAATGTTTTATATTTTCTGATGTCTGTGGAGTGTTCACCGAGGACAAAACCATGTATAAATGTTATGCTTTTAAACTTCTATATTGTAGGAAAACATTTGTGAAAATATAAATATAACAATTTATAATGTGTTTCACAAATAACATGATAATGTGTTCTGTAGGTTCAAATTGTTGTTTGTTACGACTGTCAGTTCCAAAAGCATATATATATGAAACACAATGTATGTAAAACAAGTTTTGAGTACAAGTATTTCTTGTACTTTTGCTTGTATTCCCCCCTGAAAACATTTAAAAACCATTGAAAAAGGGTAGGGGTATGAACTCATCGGTTGAGAAACGCGTCAGTTTGGATCCTAAACGTCAGTTCTGGGTTCGCGAACGCGCAAGATTCCTATGGATTATGAAATGATATACAAATATATCTAATTAGATTTATAAACTCTAATTAGATATGATATTACACTCCAATGAGCGAAAACACTTCAAAACGAGTGTTTGGAGTGACCCGGGTTATATCTGTCTCCTGTTTAAGGCTATTCATGTACTCTATTATCATCTATAAGAACCTTGTATTTAAACTTCAAGATGGAATACAACTACTGTTTTGTTATTGTTGTACTTGTGATATAAATTTAATTGCTTGTGATCCATGAACTGATTCACACACCCCGACATGTTCCGCCACATCAGCTAGTGGTGTGACAGGCTATATTTTTCTTCCTCAGACTGTTCTTCATTCATATCAGGTTGCACAACACGGGTCGCTGGTTCATCCATATTCTCCCGTAGGAGTCGTCCAATACCCTCCATTTTTCAATATAGCATGGCTTTCATAATGCTTGAACTCCTGCCATTGTGATAGGTTCAGGCACTGACACCACTCAAGATGCACGCTCGATTACACAAGGCTCAAACTGTTGATTACCGTTACCGTTTCCTAGTCTACTTTGCGTTCTCACCATGATGATCTGTACAACAAAGCGAGCATTCAATGTACCGATACACGAGTTTATTTAGGAAAGGTTTTTATTTATGTTTAGATGCATAAAATTTCCTTATCACTCCAAAAACTTATATGTCAGTTCTAATACATTAATTATACATTTAGAATCGTGAGCACATAAATTTTCCAAATCTAGATCGACAATAGACCTACGATCTAATAAAGTAATAGTAATCTATGTAGGGAACCTAAGGAATGCTATAACATAAATCATTTAGCACATATCAACAAATTAGTAATCTTATCCTAAAGTATTCTTGTGATAGTTTTAATTCATGTATACTACCTAAAATAAAATAAACTCACATCTCACAATCATCGTTTAACATTCTACGTTTAACTCTAGAAATTCTCAAGTATTTCTAGTTCCCTTGAACTATCGCTCTGATACCAACTATGACATCCTCAATTTCACGGCCAATTTAAAACTTTTTCTTTATGCTTATTTAAATTTAGAGTATTCATTAAATTGCGTCATTTGTTACCAAAACGTAATTATTGAAGTATTTTTGAAGAAATATATTTCATTGATATATAAAAACCTTGGGATGTCATCTTTAATGAAGACACATAAGCATAAACTTGTTTTTCACAAGCCTTGCAGCAATTTATTATAGGAACACATAGCATATAATCATCTAGATACTTTATATCTATGTGTAATCCGAAAGTAATTATTCATCCACTTGTTAAAGTGGATAATTGGAAAGTTGGGAAGTGCTTCGCTTCAACACTTAGTTTTTCCTTTGATGTGACATAGGTTCATTTTACTAAGTCTTAGTATATTATTTATTACGACTAATGATAATCGAGATTCCTTAACAATATCAATGTCTACATCAAGATCTATCAAGTAAGGAGCAACCATATAAGATCATATCGGAGGTAGGGTCTGTTTGGTATATAGAGTATATTGTTTGGAAATCTCATTTTAAACACCTCACTAAATCTAGTGTAGATATCACCCCCATAAGTAGATCAATCATTTAATGTCTTGGAATCACTAATAAATCTTTTTTTATAAATTCATAACAATGATTATGAATATAAATATAAGTTACAATGAAAGCAATATAAGTGTGGCTTAATGTATAGAGATTTCTTAAAAAAAAGTCTGGAAATTGAATTGTCAGAACTCTGACCTGATAGCTACTAACACCGGGTACTCAGGGACCTTAGAGCTTTGCCAAAATATCCTAAACACTAAGATTTCTTGGCCAATTGCAAAGAATTTCGAGAGAGAGAGAGAGAGAGAGAGAGAGAGAGAGAGATTAGAGTGTATGGGAAATCAAATGAGCTTAAAGACGTATTTATGGGGTGAAAATACGGGGAGTAATGTTGCGCCCTGGTCTGGTTAACCCACCCTGCTACACACACGTGTCCAACATTGTGTGGTGCTCTGTGGCAGCTTCTAGAAAGTGCGCACCACGCCTTTTAGTGCGTCGCGCACTCGGGAAAATTTCAAAAATTCATAACGTCTTCATACAAAATCTGTTTTTGACATTCTTTATATCCATGTGTAGCTATCAATGAGATCTATAGCTTTTATTTAGACTCTATCAGCTTATTTTCACTTTAGTTATTATTTATTATTTTAGAAGGCTTAAACTGCTAAACTTCATTTAAAATTCATATCTTTTTCCTACAACATCTGTTCTCAACTGTCTATATATCAA